AATGGTTAGGCAATCATATACTTTACAAAGTGTTCCCCCTGATATTTCCAGTACCCACCTGGCCCCATATATAGTTATTACAGTATTATTGACTATATTCCCTATGCTGTACTTTACACCCACGTGACTATCTTGTAGCTACCAATCTGTATTTCTCAATCCCTTCACCTCTTTCACCCAGTCCTTCAACGCCCCCTCATTCACTCACATTTTAAATGATGTAAAATATAAATTAGCATCTTCCTGAGAAGACTTATTTTTAAAAGTCACTTTTTTTTCCAGTGAAGCCAATCAGAAAAGGATGCAACTTTTATGGGACAAGATGACAACCTGCCAAGTATGGTTGCCTGGGTCTCGGTTTAAGAGTGTGGACTAGGTGATACAAAGATTTAGTTAATTCTTAGGGTCTTTTGAAATTAAAATTGAAATAATTTGCATCTAGAAGTAGAAACACCTCTCCACCTTTCACCTCATGTGCTAGCTAGTATTGTCCTGGAAAGCAATCTGCTACATTGACTCACACTTCATATTCACCTGCTTCTTCCAAGATCTTAAAAACCGATTTTCCTGAGAGGAAGTATATACTGTTTTATTGCTGCCGTAACGTTACCACAAACATAGTGGCTTAGAAAAAAAAGTGTGTTACCTTACCGTTCTAGAAGTCAGAAATCCCAAAATCAAGATGTTGCCAGGGCTGCTGGGAGGCTCCAGGAGAGAATCTGTCCAGCTTGCAGTGGTTCTCAACCTTCTGGCCCTTTAAATACAGTTCCTCATGTTGTGACCCAACCATAAAATTATTTTCGTTGCTACTTCATAACTGTAATGTTGCTACTGTTGTGAATCGTAATGTAAATATCTGATATGCAGGATGGTCTTAGGCGACCCCTGTGAAAGGGTCGTTCGACCGCCAAAGGGGTCTCGACCCACAGGTTGAGAACCGCTGTCTAGGGGCTGCCTGCATCCCTCACTTGTGGCCCCTCCCTCCATCTTCAAGGCCAGCTGTGGAGCATCTTCAGATCTCTCTCACCTCTGCTTCCATCATCACATCTCTTCGCATCTCACTGTGGTCCTCCTGCCTCCCTCTTACAGAGATCCTTGTGATGACAGTGGGCCCACCTGGATAATCCAGGACAATCTCTCCACCTCAAGAACCTTAATCACACCTGCAAAGTCCCTTTTGCCATGGAAGGTAACATTCCCGACCTCAGGGACAGGGGCATCTTTGAAGGCCCATTATCTAGCCGACAACTGTAAGGATCATTAACCTAATAAAAATTCCCTCAATCAACTTTAGTGCCCCCAAATTATAGCTTGGCTATGTTAATGAATCCCAAGTTAAGATCTACATTGAACATCTACTGTTATTAATTACTAAAGGAGTGGTTCTCACACTTTAATGTGCCAGAATCACCTGGAAAACTTGTTCAGGTAGATTTCGGGGCCCATCCCATAGTTTCTGATTCAGAATTCCCAGATCAGGGATGGGCCTCAAGAATTTGCATTTCTAACAAGTTTCCAGCTGCTGTTGCTGGGTGAGAAACAACCCCACCAAAACAGGAAGTGGATTTTACAAATAGTAATAAGTTCCCCAAAGGGATGGTAGTGAGGAGCTCTGGCGACCTGTTGGGAAGTTGATGCATGGAAATGCATATTTTATTCTTCAAATATATTATTTATTCCACAAAGTCCTTAGTGAAGCTGGCTATTTCGGTAAAATGTATTCTAACTCTTAAGTGATTGATTTCTGTGAAGATGTGTGATGACAGATTGGCAACTACTTAAAGAAACATCTATTATTAGCACATTATTTTAAAAAACCCAATGGGGAAATAGTAATTATATGCCTCTTTGCAATAAGATCTAGAATGAAAAAAAAAAGAGGCAAATTAGCTTTAATTGCACTATTATATTCACACAAATCATATCTTGCTTCAATATTTATTTTATGGCAAAATAGACTATTATATATGTTTTTCACATATATTATATTCAGTTGTTTAAATTCATTTGCCCATTAAATGTACACACTTTTACAAACCAATGACAGTTTAGAAGAATTAAGCTCGGATTATACATTTTTACATTATTTATCACCAAACAGTACACCATATAAAATTGCTTTTTGAACTATAAAATAATACAACTATTTATAGTACCATTTCAAAAAGGTAAAATTTTCAGTGCATTGCTTGAATTACAGGGTGACTTTCTAAGAAAATGTATTCATATAAATTTTCTCCAAATTTTGGGTTTATTTCTTAGGCCTATTAAGTCATATTAACCTCTGTTTGAATTTTTATTTAAATACACTTGCTAGTATCTAAATGTTTATTTTTAAATTATGCTTTGCTAAATTTACTGTGGGTTGGGGTAAGATTGCTTCAGCTACTAACAACTCAGAAACATACAACAAATTCCTGGTTACAGAGTAATTCTTCATCTGAACTAAATAGCATCAATTATATTCAGAATATCTCCCTCTATTAAGCACAATACAGTGAAACATTGAAGTGTTTTATAGAAAAATATTTAACATTTGCATGATAAAAATCTAAGTATTTTATATTTTGATATAAAAAATTACTTGAGAATACAGTAAAAAGGAAAAATCTATTTCAGTGGCCCAATAACAATCAATCTTTTGAGTAAGGTTTGACTGTGTATCCAAGTTTCTTAAAAGTCTTAATATATTAACAAATATTTTCCCCTCATTTTCAGTGTGTTAGAATTTGAGTATACTGATAATTGTATAATAGCTCAATTTTAAAATAAGAAATGACATTGCTTACTTTCAATATAGAACTAAAAAAATCTAATATGGAGACGGTCTGACATTAACAGAAATTTTTCAAAAACATTAAGAAACATCCCTATACAATAACTACTTCAATTTCTCTGTTGTGCCATAAAACCAAACTATGCAAACACACCCATTAGAGGTCTACCAATCTAAAAGTTGTTACAAATTATATTTTTTTTCCTTTCACCTTTTTGTTTAACTCATGTGAGTTTAAGAGTTTTGTATTATTTTCCACCTTGCGTTTATTAAATCTGGTCTGGAAGTAAGTTTTTCTCCTCTGGAGAACATTCACTTTTTTTTCAGGCTACTTGTTGGACTGAACCATTATTGAACCTGTATTACTCCAGTAAAACTACAAAACCATTAGACCCTTTCAGGAGACTTAACTATAAGATTAAATTACTATGTTTCAATAATTATTACTATAAAATAAGTCACCCAAATCTGTCTCATTCAATGGTCCAATAATTTAAGTGATTTCTAATAAACTTCTAGGATAAAAAGTCTGGGCAGTTTCTTAGCATTTATGACAGCCGTTTGATCTGCAATATTTGCACTCTTGGGAAAAATGAGTGACTGAGCATACATTCCCCACTTATTTGGTTCACTTTTTCTCAGCTGATCATGAGCAGATAGAAATGGAAAGCCAGTTATCATTAACTTTGTATTAGTTTCATCAACAACCTACCCAAAAAATTGAACACTGACAGACTCATGTTAGGACTAACTCAGGTAATCCAACCCTTTGAATTTATCTGGTGGTATAGACCTGTTCGTAAAGGTGAGTACTGTAGATTTTTTTCTCCAAGCTTTTACAGTGTGAATTTAAAATACACATGCACACTTAAAATGTTAATAGTGACAATTGAAATAAAGTTCTGGTCTTTTTACACAGTTTAAAAACTACCTACCAGTCCAGTTAAAATTGCAAATTTAGCCGAAACTGGTTTGGCTCAGTGGATAGAGCGTCGGCCTGCAGACTGAAAGGTCCCAGGTTCGATTCCCGTCAAGGGCATGTACCTGGGTTGCAGGCACATCCCCAGTAGGAGATGTGCAGGAGGCAGCTGATCGATGTTTCTAACTCTCTATCTCTCTCCCTTCCTCTCTGTAAAAAAATCAATAAAATTATATATTTTTTGCAAATTTATTGCTCTGGGAACTGGGATCGTACACAGCTATAGCCAGGGTGGGTACAACTACATCACAGATTCAGAGCCAATGGGTCTTAGAGATTTCAAATGATCCTTTTATCTGGCACACCACAAAGTCATTTAACAGAAATTAAGGGATAATGATCAGAAAATTTACCTAGTAATTGTCAAAAACTTGGAACCGCATGTCAGCCATACTGTTCTACAGTCAGTTCAAACACAGTTATTCCTTTTTTATCATTCATTTGTACTTACAATATAAAAATATAATTTAAAATTAGTGTATATATGTATGGTTACTCTTTCCTAACCCATCAACATATTGGAGACAGTTTAAATTTACTCTACTTTTTGAAAACTAAGTATTTTAATTTCTCAAATATATTGAGGTGACTTAAGCATCTTTGGAAATAAGATGTGCAGCCAGACCCTAATTTACATACACGTGACCTGGAGATGCCCTTTACATGGGAATACTGCCTTGGAACTGCTGCTTCCTCAGCTGGGGGCTGTACCGTAAGCTTCCGCCTTGGCCCACCTCCACTTCCCATTTCATGCTAGTGACAATCCAAAGAATATGTGAGTGGAAACAGGAAAGCTAGGGCCTGTATTGCCAATTTATCCGCCTTCACCCCTGCCTCACAGCCAGTTACCTGGTGGCATCCCTGCTCCACTCATCATATGTCCCATTCTGTTCCTTACCCTTCATGCGCCACTCAAAGTTCTGAACAATGGGATATTCATGTATGAATATCGTAGGTCCCTCATGAGTCACTGATCTGCCTTCGATTGCTTGTTGAGGCTCAGTCCCACTACCAAGCAGACACAGAGAACCCCTTCTCTGTTTTCACCACCAGGGAGCAGCAGGGGGAAACTGCTGTATATTTTTCTTGGAGTCCCGACTGTGGTCACGGGACTCTGTACCACTGCTTCCCATTCAGAGCCGCTGTAGTTAAAATTCTCTTGAGGACAAACCAAGAGAGTTAACACTCACTTCAAGTATTGTTCATAAGGGGAAATATTACTACATCTCAATAACTCAACATACATCGGAACTTCGAGAGCATAATTTTTATTTGGGAACTGCCTGTAGTGATGTACAGAAAATGACGCCACCTTAACAATCCAAGGACCACTTCGCAAGTTCTCTAACATTCTCTCTCCACCCACCCTCCCCAAACACACACCAACTTTAAATAACCGGACTTTCTGATCTTTCCTCATTTTTTGCCAATTGTAGACACAAGGGTAAATAGAACCCTTATCTCTAGGAATTTGAAAAACTCGTGTTCTTTTGAGAAACATTTATTTTCCCAGGCAAATTCTTAATGTACCATTTCCTCTATTTTCGAAATGTACTCCTCAGCTCAAAAAAGAGCCCCCTCCAATTTGGATTTTTTAAAAATAAACTTTAAACTGGGAAGAGATCGTATTAGCTTGTTCCACATGAAATCTTGATGGAAGCAAATCCCCTAAATTTATAACCAGAGTTCCTTTTGAAAAACACCTTCTAGTCTGATTTTTAAAATGATTTACAGTAAATGCTGTCTTATTTCCATCTGTTCATGCAAATCTCCATTAAATCTGCGCTTACATTGCAGCTGACCTCCAGCTTTAGATTTTAATACGTGTAAAGTTTTATATATAACATATATATTTAAATTTTCTTAAAATTACAAACATTAACACATGAACCCATTTGAAATGACTTTTCTCCCAATGATGAAAGCTTGGCCATGCCGTCGTCACTCCGTCCTACAACCTGACACCGTCTTCCGTGTTTCTGCCCAGACCTTGCTTCTTCTGGAAGATTCTAAGGAAGCACAGGTATAGCTTCTGTTTTAATCCTGCCAAAAGGTTTAAAAGGCAAAATCCTAGGGCTTTCCAAATGCTTCACAGTAGATGTTCCAGAAAAAAGTAATGATAATGACTGCAATGAACATTCCAAGTGATATTCTAACTAACCAGGAAAAGTGATGCCAGAGATGCCAAAACGGACCACGGAGAAGCCCTCATTTGTAACCTACTTTTGTAGAAATGTACATTTTGGTAATTTTGATTTGAAATTAACAATATCAAGGCACTAAAAGACACGAAGATACTGAAGCAGTGCCTAATTTTGGCAGACAATAACACCCTCAGATCAGAAGGGGTAAGCTATGAAACCTCAATGTTTTCGAGTTCGCTCTTGAAAATCACATTGTATCAGAGTCTATAATTGAGATTTATTTTTATTCAGAAATACTTTCATATTCACTAACAAAATTTAAAAATTCAAAAGGGACAAAAGGTTACATGGTCTTAGAAGCTATGTCAAACATGCAACATCGTAAGCGTGACATTCAAACTGCAATTCGGCCCTCATACTTTCTTATACTCAAATTATGACAACAGGAACACAAACATACCATATATTACTCTTCTGATTTTGACTTACGTTATGTTCTTATCAGTGAGACACTTTAAAATATTTCAACCTGACAGAAAAGCATTTTTTAAAAACCTACCATGGAAGAAAAAACATCATCAGAAACACTCCTGTCTTTTACATGGTGTGGAGGGGGAAATATCACCATAAAAAAAGGTTTCATCCATTCTTCTGCAGAGCTCTTTCTGAACATTTACCCTTAGGTCTACTGCTCTTTATTTTTTTTTAAATGTATTTTATTGATTTTTTACAGAGAGGAAGGGAGAGGGATAGAGAGTTAGAAACATCGATGAGAAACATCAATCAGCTGCCTCCTGCACACTCCCCACTGGGGACGTGCCCGCAACCAAGGTACATGCCCTTGACTGGAATCGAACCTGGGACCCTTGAGTCCACAGGCTGATGCTCTATCCACTGAGCCAAACCGGTCAGGGCTGGTCTACTGCTCTTTAAACAGGACTCTCAAAAACAATGTCAGATTTAAAATTAATATTTTGTCCCTACGTGACAAATGTGTTCACTTCCAATATTCCTTTCCACTAACATCTTCGGAATTTTCCTCGTACATGGTTGCTTTCTGGGTCACTCAGTTAGGCAGATCCACGCTGTATGAAGGAAACCTGTCCCACAGCTGATAATACATACTCAGTGGTCACAATAGTGAGTTGAACTGCTTTAGGAGTTAACACAGGGACTGGAAACACCCCTAGGATATTGAATTTTGGGGAAATAGCCCTAGGTTGAACAATTTGGAAACTGTATTTTGGAGAAGCAGCCTCAGAAGAAGGAAGAAAGGGACGGCTCCTCGGCTGAACGTACCAATGAGTCCTTACCTACTCAACTCCCACTGTGACCAGGCCACCCTCGCCTGGGCCAAAGGGGACACTCTCCCCCTAGTCAGCCTTGTTCTGCCCACTGCGGTGGGGGAGGGGTAACTAAGAGGCTAAAACTGTCCTCAGGGGTGAAGTCAGGGGGTAGGGAAGCTAAATCTCAAGTACCTCTTGAACACCAAGTGACCTCTGCTAGCCCCACAAGTTTGGGCTGTGGTCTTGGGAGATGACGTAAAACTATTACTAACTCTTCTTTCAACCAAAAGAAAAGGAAGCTTCTTGAAGCCTCCTTTCCATGATAATATTAACTTGATTGTATTTGTTAAAAAAGAATAGAGGTTGGGGTGGAAGAACTCCAAGGGAACCCAAGTGATCTCTGACACTGACAGGCCTGGAGTTGCCTGGGGATTCCCATCTCTGGGGGGTCAGCCCCACACTCCCAGGCTCCCCCTCTCCATCCCAGCACCTCAGTCTGAGGATAGATAATACTGCGTTTTTGTAAAAATAAAGGCATCTTGCATTTGCCATCCTGCACGGACACTACACGTACTCGTGTCCCAGGCACCTACATACTCTTACTCCTGACCTCTTCCAAAACTCCTTCGGAACAACATCCCCTGCTCGTGTTAGCGTTTCATCTGTAAAGCGGCACACGTAGTCTAACTCAGGTTTACTGTTTTTAACCAAGAAAAAGTGCTTAAAGCCAACCTGCACAATTTCACTTCATTTTCAACCAATAAAATCAAACTCATTTAGGTTTATGAATAATACTGAGAAAAAAAAACAACACAGTGAATCTGATTGCTCTCTTCCATTTTAAAATGATGTGCCTTCATTCACAGCTTTCCCTTAACTGATTCGTTTCCGTACCTTAATGAGTCAAACTCTGATTTGGAAAATATAGAAGGTAAAAAATATATGAATTTTTAGGATAAAAAATGTTTCTGAATATAATAATGCTTTCTTCATGTTTCAAAATAACACTTGTAAATCCTTCTTGTAGTTTGGATTTGGTAACTAAACTGTTAAGTACCCAAGGTTTTTAAAAAATATCAAAAGATAATAACATGGTTTTAAATACAAAGTTACAAAGGAACCACTCATATTTGTGGATCATCTCCACGGAAAAGTTCAGTTTCTCAGCAAGAAAACCCCCAAATATTTTAGTCATGAAATAAAATTCCATTAGCAAAAACTTGTTTAAGATAAAAATCTATGCCTGTTAATGATTGCCAGAGTTGCCCAGCATAGCTTCAGTAAAATACAGAATTGTCTAGAAAACACAGTCTCCAAACATGTGTGCAAGTGCTGCAAATCGGACAGACCGGGCAGGGCCACTCCCTGGACACCAAGTCCTCCATCTCTGGCCTCGTCCCAGGTGAAGTCCCCCGCAGCCTTCACGCTCCCTCAGTGCCGGCATCCACGCCGCCCTTACTTCCCAGTGAGCCTTCTGCGCGGACGAGTGTCGAGGGGTGAATGTGAGTCAGGCGGGCCCTGTTCTGACTGTAAACGCTTCACATGGGCGGGTCCCCTTCGGCAGCCGTGGGAGCTTATATGAGCCTGGAGCTTTTCAGGAACTGGATGAGAACTCTGTACACGAACGTGTACTGGATCAGGGTCTGCACCAGCATCATTCTCTGCTGCCTCAGCTTGTCCAGCACCCGTGGGATGTCGAGCACCTAGATTGAGAGACACGGCAGTGAGGGAAATGCACTTCCCCAGAGAGAGAAGGGGGCCGGGAGCGTGGGGGTCCCAGCGCAAATCTGGTTAGGAGATGGTCAACCTCCTAACTCATCTACTTGGGCATCTTCTACCAAAATAACACGCAAATAAACAAGAGAACCCGAGGAACGTTCGGCTCTCTAAGAAGCACACCATGGCGGTCGGCAAGAACAAATGCCCTATGAAAGGCGGCAACAAGGGGGGCCAAGGAGAAAGTGGTTGATCCATTTTCTACGGAAGATGGGTGTGATATGAAAGCACCAGCCTTGTTCAATACAGGAAATATTGGTAAAAAATTGCCACAAGAACTCAAGGAACCAAAATCGCATCTGATGGCCTCAAGGGTTGTGTTGTTGAAGTGAGCCCCGCAGACCTGCAGAATCATGAAGCTGCATTTAGAACATCCAAGCTAATTACTGAGGATGTGCAGGGCAAACCCTGTCTAATTTCCATGGCATGGATCTTACATGGAGACAGAATGTGCTGCCTGGTCACACAATGGCAGACCATGACTGAAGCTCATGTTTTGTCAAGGCTACCGATGGTTATTTGCTTCGTCCATTCTGTGTTGGTTTTACTAAAAAAAAATGCAACAACCAGATTCGGATGACCTCTTACGCTCAGCAGCAACAGGTCTGCCAAATCCGGAAGATGATGGAAATCATGACCCGAGAGGTGCCGACAGATGACAGGAAAGAAGTGGTCCATAAACCGATTCCATTGGAAAAGACACAGAAAAGCTGGCCAATCTATTAATCTGCTCCCCAATGTCTGTGTTAGAAAAGTCAACATGCAAGAAGCCCACACTCGATCAGGGAGAACTCATGGAGCTGCACGGGGAAGGTCGCAGCTCTGGGAGAGCGACGGGGGCTGAGACAGGCGCTCAAGGAGAACGAGCTGATGCCTATGAGCCCCCAGGCCAAGGATCCCACTGTGCCCAGCCCAGCATGACTCAGTGGTTGAGCATTGACATATGAACCAGGAGGTCACAGTTTGATTCCCAGGAGGCAGCCGATTGATGATTCTTTCTCATCATTTTTTAAAAATATTTTTCATTGATTTCAGAGAGGAAGGGAAAGGGAGAGAGAGATAGAGACATCAATGATGAGAGAGAATCATCGATTGGCTGCCTCCTGCGCGCCCCCTACTGGGGATCAAGCCTGCAACCCAGGCATGTGCCCTTGACAGGAATCAAACCCGGGACCCTTCAGCCCGCAGGCCACTGATGCTCTATCCACTGAGCCAAACCAGCTAGGGCTTTCGCATCATTGTTTCTATCTCTCTCTCCCTCTCCCTTCCTCTCTGAAAAAAAAAAATTGTTTTTAAATCAATAAAAATAAAATTCAGACTTTTATCTGTGACAAATAAAAAAAATTCCTACTTGCGGGGAAAAACACACACCAAGGAACCTCGTTCAGAAAGGGCTGTTAGATAACGAGGTCCCTCACTTCCCGACCTGCGCCTCGCCCACCTCTCCCCACGCCAAAAACAAAGGAAATAAGCACCTCGTTGTGCTCCAGGCAGGCGATCATGATCTCGGACAAGATGACGACGCCGGTCCTCCCCACCCCCGCGCTGCAGTGGACCAGCAGCGGGGGGTTGGGGCCTTTGGGTTCACTCGTGCTGTTTGTGTGGCGTCGGACAGACTGGATCTCCTCAAGGTATGCTGTGAAGTATCAATGAGATAGAAACACTCTCAGGGTTTAAGGCACGTCACATCGACAGTCTGCAGATCATCTCCACTGACGGGGAGGCCTCGGACAACCAGCACAGGGCGCCAGTTAGCAGCCCAACCACTGACTGATAGTGCGGTCTTGGTGAGTCTCGGACTCCACCTGGCCTCCCTACGAAACCAAAGGGAGGAAAAACTCCCCAAGACTCATTCACTGCATTTTACTCACTACCACGTTATACTTCAAAAACTTCTTTTGGCCGATGGCGTGGCTCAATGGTCGAAGTCATGGTTCGATTCCCAGTCAGGGCATATGCCCAGGATGCGGCTCGATCCCCAGTGTGGGGCTCGCAGGAGGCAGCCAATCAATGATTCTCTCTCATCATTGATATTTCTATCTCTCTCCCACTCTCTCCCTTCCTGAGATCAATAAAAGTAAAAAAAAATAAAAAGTAAAAACTTCTGCCAAGCCTCCCCTTAAACACTTAAAATCTTTATTTTAAAACAAGCCCAGAGTGAATACGAGACAACATAAAGGAACTATTTCAGGAACATGAGCCTTCCTCTCCTCGGCTGATGTCAGAGCCGCAGCAGGGGCTGTGCTGGGAGCGGGGACACTTACACAGAAACCCCTTGAGGTCCTCGGGGCAGCCGTGCTCCGGCCAGTCCGTGTACTGCAGGTGCCAGACCGTCCTCTCCTGCCCCGTGAGCAGGTGCTTCATCTTCAGGCCGGTGGTGGCGTAGCAGCCAGAGTCTGTGCGGAACCGGGTGGTGATCTTGAACCTTCCGTAGGTGACAGTGTTGTGCCGGGAACCAAGGCGTGGCCAGTACCTAAAGCTCTTCTCCCTTCCGCCCTCCTGTTACAGACGCAGGCATGGACAGTCAAAACACAGCGCAAGGCCCCGCAATACAAGCCCTTTTACACACACAGACAGCACGTCGAGACGCAGAATCGCTCTCCCAACCTGCCCCTCCCTCTGAGCGTCAGGATCCCCACAGGACTGACGATAACGTCTCATCTGAGACAGAGCAAACCGATGGAGAGAAATGAGCACGTACCTCTTCCGCTGTCACCATCGCTATAATGGCGATTCCCTGCTCCCACACCATCTGCCAAAAGTCCTGACAGGTGTTCTGCAGCGGGCCCTGCGTGGCAATATAGTCCCATTCCATCCCACTGACAGAGACCTGGATGAGGAAAGGTTAAAAATGAATGTGTATGTCATGTAGGTACACAGGCGTGTATATACATTTTTGGTAATACTAAAAAGTGAACTATATTATTCAGAATAGAGAAAGGCTTTCATCTTATTCTTTTTCCCTGTTAGTACAATTTCTACTATTGACATCTGTATAAACTTATTCACTATGAGTTCACATAATATCTATGCGACCCGGGGCAATTTGCTTAACCTCTCTGAATCTTAGTTCTCAAGTTAAAAAAAATATATTGCCTGCCGCCCGGCCGGTGTGGCTCAGTGGTTGAACATCGACCTATAAACCAGGAGGTCACGATTCAATTCCCGGTCAGGGCACATGCCTGGGTTGCAGGCTCAATACCCCATAGGGGGAGTGCAGGAGGCAGCTGGTCAGTGATTCTCTTCATCATTGATGTTTCTATCTCTCTCTCCCTCTTCCTTCCTCTCTGAAATCAATAAAAATATATTAAAATATATGTATATGTATATGCATATGTATATATGTATTGTTTGCCCTCATAGGGTTGTTGTCAGAACTGAGTCAAGGGGACTCTTTCCCCCTCCCCACGTGGGAGTCTGTACTTGTTCTTCAATAAATTTCCACCTTTACTAGGAAGGTAGGAAGGAAGGAAGGAAGGAAGGAAGGAAGGAAGGAAGGAAGGAAGGAAGGACTGAGTCCATGCACACACATGGTGCCTTGACCATGCCTGGTGCTCAATGAGTAGTCGTTATTGCCGCTGCTGCTATGCTTCTTCTCGTAAAAGCAATATCAACATCCCAGTACCCCAACTTTCAAACACAATTTTCCCTCATAAAGAACTAGACACACTGAGAAAAGTAAGTGCAGCTAAGCCAAAACCCGAGTTAATGTCCGATTTCTAGGGGAAAATAATCTTCCTGTTTCAGGAAGTCTCACCTCTGGCCTTCTGAGCCAAATCACCCTCCATCATGACACTAAGCTTCCACCTAAGATTCAGCCTCCTGGAGAAAGGTCTAAATAATCACTGTGGTTGGGATTTGTAGTCAGGAGACTGGGGTTAGAGCTCAGCGGCACTGATTCTCAGTGACCACCGCACCTTCTCTCAGTGCCACTCAGCGTAAAACCCTGTGCAAGCATGTTCCGCCCATGCTCTCGCTAAGGCCATCCGTCCCTGGTCACAACCCGCATCCGCTCACCGAGCGCCCACTCAGGGGCAGGCACCATGGGCGGGTGGGTGGAGGGGGGAGGGCAACGGTTACACAGCAAACAAGAACTCAGGAGGAAGAGTCTGATGGGGAACCCCGGGGGAAGGTGCCAGCATTTCTTTACCCAGATAAGTACCACGAGGTCCCACACGGGAGAGTCTGTCCCATAATTCTGAGCTCAGCCTTTCCCCCTCTTCCTCAGGTCGCCTCTGGAGAGTCTGAAATGTCGCTATAGAACTACGACATCACTCCGCTCTTACCCACCCAAACAGGAGAGGCTGGGTGAGTTATTCCAAAGAAAGGCTCGCCTTTTAAGCAGACTGTGCCCACCTACTAAGAAGCACGTGCACAGATACCCAACCAAGGGCGTGCCGCTCGCAGGCAGACCGCCGGGTCGCTGGAAAGCTGCACGTGTGGAACTGGTCTCCCCAAAGGTCACTTGCAAACTAAACAGAAGGTGGGAGGAAGGAAACAGCACCTGACCACAGACCCCGACTCATCACGCACCGGAAGGAAGTTTCTCCCTCCGGCAAAGGGGACTGACCCTCGCCGGCAGGAACGAGGGTGCGAGTGACAGAGAAGACAGGGCAGCTGGCTCTGCCCACTCCCTACTGTGAGCCATCGCTGTTTCCATTTGTATGGGTGCAACGTGCTCCCCCAGTTAAATGACGTCTCACTCTTTCCAGGGAAAAGGTGGCGCTGCCTCTTCAAAGAACAAAACACTGTTTAAGAGTGATTGCGGGAAGTGTGCAAAGAGAGCAGACGGCACCATTGCAGGTAAAAGCTTTGGGGAAAACACTAAAAAAACCAGACACTTTTGTTACATAAAAACACGTAGGTTTGTCATGAGGAAAAATCAGGTCTCACTTATAGATTCTCTCGGGAGCAGCTGATGAAGCCTGCAGATTTAGGAAGACAAAGTTCTGAAGTTGGGCAAGTCAGCGCTTTGAGTCCTGATTACACTGCTGGGGGCAGAGGGTTTAGCCCGTGGTCAGAGCTAAGGTGACTCTGGCTCTGTTGATAAACACTTCCTACCCGGCCTGGGCGTCTGGAATTCCCAGTTTACCACATAACACAGTTCTCACAGTGGATCAAGACCAGGGTGTTTTCAGAATGCAAGCGCGAATGTCGTTCTAAGTCTTGTACTTGAACTCAGAACCTCAGGTCTCGTTCACCGTTGCGAATGCTCCTCTCACCTTAATATGGGATGCGTTGATGTACCCGGTGTTGTTCTCTTTGGTTGGGACCAACTCCACTCTGGCATCGTCATAGGGAAGCACGTCCTGGAATCGGTTTCTTTCGGCATTTTCCGGGAGTCGTGCCGTTGAGCACTCCCCATCGACCAGCCGTTTTTTAAGGATTCTTTCATATTCTGTGAACACCATTCCCTGTTCCAACCGCTGTTCCAGAATTTTACACTGTAAGCGGAATGCGGGGCGAAGACAGGAGTAAAGTCACAGGGACAGCTATGCATCGACTGTACAGCTGTTTCAGGTCTAGCATTACCTACTAGTGAAAATTCTAGTTGAAACCAGAGTTAAATTTTTACCAAGCCATAACAACAGCAAATGAAATAATCTTACTGATGAGAAATAAAGGCAAAAACATTCCGTTTAGCCCTGGCTGGTTTGGCTCAGTGGATAGAGCATCAGCCTGCGGACTGAAAGGTCCTGGGTTCGATTCCAGACGAGAGCACATGGCTGGGTTGCTCAATCCCCAGTGTGGGATGTGCAGGAGGCAGCCGATTGATGATTCTCTCTCATCATTGATGTTTCTCTCTCTTCCTCTCTGAAATCAATAAAAAAATATATATATTTTTAGAAAAAACACAAAAAACATTCTGTTTAAAGGTGAAAAACTGGCCTAAAGCAATTTGTTGGATTCATTTTCTCTAATTTATGGTCAGTTTTGTGATCCCTACAAAACAGAAAATTCCCCGTGGAGATCAGTAAATCCTAGAGAAATCCTAGAGTAGGATCATTGATCCCAATATCAATGAACCAATGCTTCAATCTTATAACATATAATTATATAAAAAAACTGTAAAAAGGGGTAAATGCTGGAAACCATCTCCAGGACCCAGTGGTAAACACATTAATTTTTGCTTAGCGTGCTTCATGTCTACCGTGGTTGCCAAGGAAGTTTTGAAAGTTTCTGTAATCCTTTAGTATGGAGATAATTTTCAGTGAAATAAAAGCAACATCTGCCCTCTTTCCTGTGTGTTCTCATAGGCATTTGCAGATCTCCTCTCTAACGTTAAAGCCATTAAAGACCAAGACTGCCACAGATGGCTGGAAGGAGGTAAAGAACATTCAGAAAAAGAAAAAAAAAATTCTAGCCTGAACTTATCCATTAAGACATTAGCTATAAATCTGCCCCAAGTTTGAGGTCCAGATCACAAAATTCCTTAACACTCATTCATGATCCCTGAATGTGTTAGAAAATGCACTGGAATCCCAGGAAGCAGACGTGCAGCACGTTCCCAGCTCTCCCGGGGAGGGGACCGGCCCGCTGTACGTACCCTCTCATCATTGGTGGCTCTGGCTGACACGTCCTTCCCCTCGTCGGGCAGAGGCAGGCGAGACAGCGACAGTCCATTCAGGGCAGCCAGCTTGAGAGGGCCCATTTTTTTTGCATCTACTCGGCTCTTTTTCATTCCCTATAAAGATATTTACATGTATATGTGAAATAGACACAAGTGCAGCCCCTTGGAAGAGAAACTGGACTGCAGACTGGAAACAGACAGGAGAAATTGCGCTCCCTCACACACACGCGCACACGCTTGTTTAACAGATATTAGGAGGGTGACATTCCTTTCAAGGCCAAAGCCCTGATAAGTCGCCCAGATAGGAGGTTTTGAAATGCAGCCGGTTTCGGGGTTCTGTTGTAATGAAAGGTGAGGCTCCCGGCAGACAGCATTCCTGCACAGAACTCCCCAATTTCAACTCGGCACACCAAAAAATCAGCTGCTGTCCACAAAAAGGGTTTTAAATACAATCACCTGATTGCAATTAGCTTTGATGATTTTTTAAAAATATATAAATTAGTTCTTTAAATCATTCTGGAAAAAAATGGAATGTTTTCTGCGGTAGCTTGCTGTTCTGTTCTGCAAGTCTGTTATGTTTCAGACTTGTGTGACCTCAGTTGGATCACCACACCTCTCAGAACCGCCACGTTTTTAAACCAGGAAAATCAAACAGGGCTGAAATCTCCATCACAATATTAGAAAGATCGGATATAAGAGAACACATCATCATATCCTGCCGATGTGGCTCAGTGATTGAGCATCAACCCACACACAAAGAGGTCACCTCCCGGTCAGGGCACGTGCCCAGGGTTTCGAGCTCGATCCCCAGTAGGGGGCGTGCAGGAGGTAGCCCATCGATGTTGATGTTTCTCTCTCATTGATGTTTCTATCTCTCCCTCTCCCTTCCTCGCTCCAAAATCAATAAAAATATATTTATAAAAGAGAGAGAGAGAGAGAGAGAGAGAGAGAGAACATCAACAGAAGCTCTCTCCTGAGAACAGATGTTCCTAAACTTATTGTTCAAGTGAATGATTGTCTCTAAGGCAAATAAGCCTAAGAATGCTAAGTTTCCTTAGCTAGTCTACACCTCCTTGGAAGTCACAATTATCCTAACAACGGTAGCCCCAATTTTTAAAAAATGGTTTTCTCAGTTCTGTCTCATAAATGAAACCAGCTCTACCAGCCTGGGAGGTAGGGAGGAGGAGGGAGACTGGAACAGAAGGAGAGAGGGAGGCTAAAAGGTTCCTGTACAGGTGAAAATTTCATGATTCTAACGTGTGCAAAACACAGTGGTAGGCTGATGCATGTTCAACAACTGGCCCTCTGGTGGGGGGAAGTTCTGATTTGTAAAGTTTGCCAATTTCCCTGGTGCAAATACTCCCACCATGGCCTATTTCAAACTGTCAATGTAACACCAACTGAATCACAAAGAGTCCTAAAGATTTAAAGGTCAGTTCTCACCAGCCAGGATGGGGTGGGTCAAGATGCCCTGGCTGGGATCAGCTGGAGGAAGCTGATTGGCTGTCAGGCCAGTTCTAAGGCCAGTGTTTGAAGAAAGGGGCATATAGTTAAAAGCAGCCTCAAATACCCCTTTTACTTAGCCCTGAGAGTACAAGCACGTGGCTTTAAACACCTGCAAGTGATTTCTTATGTGAGAACCACTACACGATACTAAGGTTGCAACGAAAAGAAAATCTTTATGCAGCTGCATGAGCACTCAAACCAGTCCACCTTTTTAGATAGCGATCAAGTCCCTGAGGTGGAGATGGGTGGAGAGTTCTAAAGTGATCCTGCTTGTCTGCAATTTATGTCAGTGTTTTTAATCCTAAACCTCTATAACCTCAATTCACATTGCTCTGTGAGCTGAGTTTCTTGGTTGTAAGAGTTAAACAATACAATGGCAATAGGGCTGAGCTATTCAATTCTTGGGAAGCTGGTAAGTTAAATGTATGGTGCCACATCACAGTAATATGTTAAATCTGAGCACTTCCTGTGTGCCAGGAGCTCACTTTGTGCCCCCAACAACTCTCTGGGCTCATCTTCCTTGACAAAAGAGAAAACTGAGTCAGAGATTAAAAAGCTTGCCCAAAGTCACACAGCTGCCTCTTTGTATAGAGAGAAGGTAATTGTCAAACAATAAATAGTGCCTTCCAATAATATCAGTTATGCTGCATATAGAATTCAGAAGCAATTTCCATGCCTATCCTTACAGAGAACTTCATGCCACAGCAGGCAGAGCAGAGACGACTGCCTCTGTGTAACAGACAGGGAAGCTGAGGGTCTGGCCCACTGAGCAGAGAACTAATAAAAAAAAAAAAAAAGGCAGGCTCGACCCAGGGACGGCGTGGCTCAATGGTTGAGTGCCGACCTATGGACCAGGAAGTCACGGTTCGATTCCCAGTCAGGGCACATGCCCAGGTTGCGGGTTAGATCCCCAGTGTGGGGCGTGCAAGAGGCAGCCGATCAATGATTCTCTCTCCATCAATGTTTCTATCTCTCTCTCCCTCTCTGAAATCAATAAAAATATACTTTAAAAAAAAAAAGGCAGGGTCTAGACTCAGACCAGCCAGTTTCCTCACTATCTGGTCCTGTACCTGTCCCCTGGCCCCAGCTCCCATGCATGTTTTTCAAATAAAGAGAATCCCTTATGGGAAAAGAAGGGGAGCAAAAGCACAGCCAATCACATAGTTTTATTAAATTAATACTGTAGGTCTTAAAAGTCAATGAGAGAGAAAATCTGTGTTTTTAGGGAACCAAATTGGTCAGAATCCTCAGATTTAGCAGGACCTGCTAGGCCCACTAAAAACGCAGTGACAAGAGGCCTGACTACTGGACCACACTCAGAACAAGCATCGTTTGGGGAAAAGACTCGGGTCACATGGAAATGATGGGCAGGTCTTGTACTCAGGGGGGAGTAGTAACTATGAAAGGGACTGTGCAGCTGGCTCGGGGCCCCAGCAGGGTCGCTGTGGAAGACACATCCACCCCCTGCCCCACTCCGAGCCACGGACTATGGGCCCACACCTTCAGCCAACCTGAGGCAGGGGTCTGTAACGGTTCTCAACCTGTGGGTCGCGAACAATGAAAATACATCCTGCATATCAGATATTTACATTACGATTCATAACAGTAGCAAAATTACAGTTATGAAGTAGCAACAAAAATAATTTTATGGTTGGGGGTCACCACAACATGAGAAACTGTATTAAAGGTTCGCGGCATTAGGAAGGTTGAGAACCACTGGCACAGGTAGGTGAGTAAGAATGCGCTCTCCCGCCCTAACTGATTTGGCTCAGTGGATAGAGCGTCGGCCTGCGGACTCAAGGGTCCCAGGTTCGATTCCGGTCAAGGGCATATACCTTGGTTGCGGGCACATCCCCAATAGGGGGTGTGCAGGAGGCAGCTGATTGATGTTTCTCCCTCATCCATGTTTCTAACTCTCTATCCCTCCCCCTTCCTCTCTGTAAAAAATCAATAAAATATATTTTTTTAAAAAAAGAATGTGCTCTCCCCCAAAATTAAAAGTAAACTTAAATTATTCAAACCCAAAATTCATTAAAAGAAAACACAGTTAAATCCACAGCATGATTGTAAGTAGTTTTAACTTATGGATACTTATCTATTTCATAAGCACAATAACACAGGGGGAATTTTTTCCTATTTATGGAGATGCTTCCAGCATCTCAGAGGATCTAAAATACAAGGCCGGAACCACACTTGCGATGGGCCCCCATGTCTGAGTTTGCTGCCTGGCGGAGATGAGGAATCCTAGCTGCCAGGACACGGGAGCAATGTGAGACAGAATGGACAGGTCAGTGCATGGCTGCTGGCTGGGGGTGGAGGCCCAGGCAGTGAGGAGTGGAAGCCTGAGCGATGCAGCGAGATGTCTCAGAGTGGACACCCTGGCAGGCCAAGGCCACACAGGCTTGGCCAAAGCTTGGGGACTCAAAGTTAAAAGGTTTCCGTGGAAAGGCCGAGAACAGCGAGGCTTAGATAAGCAGTTATTACTTAACAAAACATTATATACAGTATAACTCGCTCGAGAACAGTGGAGCAGATAAGAGAACACGCTGCAGAGATAAACACGGGTTTAAAACTCCAGTTGGTCCCTCACTCACTCTGCGACCTTGGAAAGCTACTTCATATCTGAGTCTGCTTCCTCGCCCGCAGGAACAATGGGCCTGTTGTAGACTGGGCACGGTCAATGCTATGGAAAGGGCAGCTAGAGATGATGTTACGCTCTCTTATATTTTCCTTCCGATCGGTAAGGCGTGCTTAATCAGGGCATGGTTATTTATTATCCGGACTATTTTACTAGTAACCCTGCGTTTTCTACAAGGGACCTTCCTTGAGTTCTCAGTTCATCTTTCTTTCAAAGAGACCTGGAGCCTTCCTGACAAAGGGCCACCTTCCCAACCCCAGGTTCACGCCGCAGCCCGCAGGGATCACGACCGACATCCGAAGCTGCATCCACACATCCAGCACACGGATGCGTTAGGAACACTCCTCGGTGCGGACGCTGCTCTCGGACATCCCAGGAGAAACCAGCAAACGGAACAAACGCGGCTGTGGCTGCTGCACCAGCACGGGGACTGCTAACAGGCGGCGGACAAAGCAATCTGGGCTCAGGTCACGAAACCTCAGCCCCCTTTCCGTTCACACTGCATGGCTGAAACATTTCATTCATTCTTTCTACTCCATTCCACAGAGCTCCCAACATTAACATTTAAGCTGTCTAACTATCTCCAGAAAAACCACTAAAATGTCATCAACCTCTATCACTTCCATAGATAATCAAATGTGTTCCAAATAAGTCAAAAACACAGTAAAGGGCAGAAGAGGGATCAAAATGTTAAAAGAAAAAAAGCTGGAAACATCAAAAGTACTGAGCCAGAGCAGTGACTCCCAGAGCGTAGCAGGTGCTGCAAAACCGCAGGCTGGAGGGTGCTGAGCGGGGTGGCTGCGGCTCACCTGCACAGGGAACACTTACCCCTAACGGCGGAAGCCCTTCAACGATATTCTTCTTGCCCGAGAGGAGGTCGGACACCGGCCTCTTCTTCAGAGAATCCCTCCTGGCCCGGTACCTCCCAGACGTGGTGAGGTCAGACTCGGACATGGAGGGAGTCAGCAGCCCGTCCCTCCGGGGCCGCTGGGCCTCCGCCAGCACGTGCACGGGGCTGCCCTCCCTCCCCCTCCTCTCAGCCTCGGTGACATGGGCCTTGGGCTCGTGGATGTGCAGAGGGCCCTCGCCTGCAGAGGCCGAGGCGCAGGAGCAGCCCGCCTGCGGCTCCTGGGAGTAACTGCCCCGGGGCTCACGTGCCCGTGGGGAGAGCACAGCCCGTGCCCTGCTGTCCTCCTCCGGCTCCTCCTCCTCCTCGTCACTGCTGTGTATCAGCATGGTGGCCTCTGAAAGGGACTTGCTGTGACCGTATCTCAGGCCTTCCTGCTCGGCCGTCTCTCCCCGTCTCGTCCTGTCTGGGAAGACATTTGGCTGGGAGCCTGCGAAGCTGGCCCGCGGGGCCACGTCTGCGGCTGAGGCTGACATGGTCCTGTCCTTGAGCCTCATGCCGTCGAAGCTGTGCGTCAGCCCCGCAAGCTCGATGCTGTTCCTCTTCTGCAGGTGAGCATGCCGCGCAGCGGTGAGGGGCTCACTGACCTCCTGCAGGGAGTGGGCCACGGGCAGGCTGTCCTCCTGGAAGGTCTGGACCGAGTGGTGGACGCGCCGCGTGATGAGGTCGGGGTTGCTGCTGCTGATGTAGAGGTGGCGGGACAGGTCCGGGGTGCTGTTGGCGGGCCGCGGGTGCGGGTACGGGTACGGCGGGGGCGGGCGGTACACCTGAGTCCTCATGATGTTGGGAGCCGGGTAGTCCTGGGCCTGGAGCTGCACGTTGGTCAGCTCGGGCACGCTGACGGCGCCCACCACGGGCCGCCGCTCCGCGGGGTAGGGGTACGGGGACTGGCTGTGGAAACTGTAGTTCAGGCTGAACGGGTAGTGGGCCGACTGGGGAGAGGGGAAGTGGGCGTGCTCCCGGATCTCGGGCTGGCTGTAGACCAGCGCGTCGGGCCTGCTGTAGGCGAACGAGTGGCCGATGTTGAGGTTTCTCAGCGAGTGGCTCTGCCGCTCAGCGTGAGCCATCCCCCGGTTGAGCTGCTTCATCACCGTCTCGTAGTCGGGGGTCGGGCGGTAGGACGGGGGGATCAGCGCGCTGTGCCGGTGAGACGGGACGTAGTCGGGCCTCATGACATCGCTCCCGGTGATGCTGGGGTTGGAGGACATGGGCGAGGGCTGCGGGTAGGGCTGGGGGTTGTTCAAGGAGCTGGTGCTGTGTGCGCTGTACACACTGCCGTTGCGGATGCGACCGTTGAGGTCGATCTGGGCTCGATCCAGGCTGGTCTGAGAGTGACAGTAGTATCCATTCTGGTTGGTCACAAAGAGGTTATCTGGGGGGGAAACATTTAAAATACAGTTTAAAAGGAGGTTTTTTAAAAAAGGTACTAAATTGGACTAATGACTCTGGACAAATACTGAGAGAGGTCTTGACTGTTGATGCTGTAGTTTATGGAAATGGCACTGACATGACCTGGCTTCCCCCACACACGCTGAGTGACCCTGGGCGGGTCATTTCCTCGTCTACAGGATGGGATGGCTCTGCCAGCTCCGAAGATGGAGTTCGGGACGTGGCACCCAATAAAGATCAGGCACATCTAAGCCCGATATTAAGAGTACAATTGCAACACAACCCATCGTCTTTTTCTGAAAGTCAAAAACATGTTTGATGGGAGCGATGAAACAGACCTTCTGGAACCCCGGGAGCTGCAGGCTGGGGCACCCGGGGGCGCAGGGCCCTGACTCTGCCTTCCCCTGGTGGGGAGGCCCTGCTGATCGGAGCTGGTTCAGGCACCAGCTGCCCGCAAATGCACCTTACGTGGAGCTGCTGATTGTGTAGGTGCTTCCAGATGAACAAAAAAGGGCAACATCTGGGCAGAATCTGAGCTTCTCCAGGTCCAACAGTGTCAGCAGCAGCCACGCCTCACCAGGGGGCCGGAGCCGAGAAGAGCCAGTCCCCACGCTTCCGCAGCCGGAGCCACACTCAGAATCGGGGCTCACTCTCATCGCCAGTGCCCACGAGTGCACGACCCTGCCGGGGCTGGGAAGAGGCCTGCTTCCTGCAGCCCATCTGCGGTTCACCTGAAAATCTGCGAGATGATCTCCAACCCTCGGGAAAAGCAGCCGTCCAGCCCCTCGGGGAACAGCCTGTGAAAAGCTGTGACTGTGTGATTCTCAGGCCCCACGACCGTTTAAGTGGCACCTGATCCTAAAGTGAATACACTCCGGGCTGGTGTTTGGACTTGGATCTGGTGGCACACAGCCATGAAGGGACAGGACTCAAATGCATCCCCGTGTGCTCACCGCTGGGGCACGGTGCTTCCTGTCCCTGGACGCACACACACGAGCTCTGAGTCAGGAACCCCCCACCTTTGCTCACTGCAGCCTGTCTGGACTAGCACAGCCGCGGCCAATGCGGAGCTGGTTCAAGCACCAACTGTCTGCTCTCCCAGCCTCCAGGCTCCTCTGCGCACCCCACAGACCATCCATTGGTGAGCCCATAGGCGTACAACACTGTACTAAGAACTGACGGGGGGAAACGTACAACACTGTACTAAGAACTGACGGGGGGAAATGACTGGAACCCAGTCAAATGAAAAGGTCTGGGTTGGTGGAGACAGAGAAGAGAAGATAAAGAACCGCCTCACAGAAGCTATGGCATTGGAGGGGCCTTGAGGGACAGGAGGACGGGGCAGGCATGCCCAGCTTTCAATAGCAGCCGGTCTACCGCCGAGTGCACACGGGATCACGCCTCCTCCCCTCTGGAGGTAGGGCACCACCGTGGGACGAGTAATGGTCATGGGAACGTGAGCAGAGGCCGACAGCCCGTTTCCACGCTCCCTTCCCTGCCATTCTGATCAGCAACATTGCAGAGGGAAGCAGGGGCCTCCTGCCCATGCACAAAGGTCAGGTAACTGAGCAAGAAGTAGCTTCTCCTGAGTGAGCCACAGGGGGCTTAGAACGGTGTTTTCCCACAGCACAGCACAGCCTACCCTGACTGGGCAGTGGCCTGTGGGCAAGAGGGTGCGTGAAGGTGTGTGGGACAAGGGCATTCTGGGTGAGAGGCCGGAAGAGACCCCCCCCGCCCTGGCGGCCATGCTCGGTGTGGCTGAGCATCAGGCAGCCAGAGAGGAGTAAAAGGACAGCAGAAATAAGACTGGAAAAGCAGTGAGAGGGAGAAGCGCGGGGTGCTGAGCCCAGGCAGGGGATGGTCACCAGGAGCCGAGATGAGCCTGGGAGGTGGACACGGAAAGTGTCAGCTCCTGTGACACAGCAGCTCGGGAGAGGTTTAAACAGGAGAAACTGGGTCCGTCACAGAGGGACAGGAGAAGGAAGAGATGTCATATGAAGTTAGAGGCCGTATAATCCCATAGATTTGTAACTGACTGGCTGCTGAGGGCAAAAAGGAAAAAGAAGATGAGAAAAATGACATGCAGGTTGGAATCCAAGGAACCAGGAAGGTGACTTCATCATGAGGATGAAGGAACGTGGGGAAAGGTACAGGCCGGTCAAGTGGAGAGATCGGATTTAACATTTCAATCAGTGCTCAGCAGTCGGCATAGCTGGTGAGATTTACCGAGTGCTCGTCACAGCCTGGTGCTGTGCCCGCCGCAGCCCCCTGCACCGCACGACCACCTAGCAGACCTGGAAGCGTGGGCTGAGCAGAGGAGTGAGGAAGGGGTGGGAAGTACAGACCTGACACCACTCGTCCTTGGTGAAATCTGGACGGTGGCTGAGCCTGCCGGAGAGGGGTGCGGGGAGCAGAGGACGGGGGCGGGGGTGGGGGGAGGAGGAGGGAGAACCCACACACTGAGATTTGCAGGCGGAGAGCACGCTGGACTCTGATGGTAAGGAGGGTGTGCGGGTGCCGGGGACCCAGGAGAGGGCAGCTTGAACAGAAGAGCAAAGGTGGGAGGAGTGAACGGGGGACCAGACAGGAGCAGCACACAGATGTCACTCTCAGCAGAAGTGGGTGCAAGAGGAAAAAAAGGAAAAACACCAAACTGCAGTTGGAAGAGAGAAGAGACAAAAAAATAGTAAGATGTTTGTAGACCCAGGGAAAGAAATGAGTGGGAAGGAAACACCACCAATGGGAAGAGAGCCTTTTCCCAGGAGGAGGAGGGCTGGGGTCGGAAACCAGATCAGGCAGGGTGCAAGGCGGAGAGGACAGTGATGGTGGAAGGCACCTGAGTCCGCACCCCAGCACTGCTCCCCTGCTGCCCACCTCACGGCACGGAAATTCCCATCTTTACCACAAGGCCCGGCACAAACCACACAGTCCACCCACCGCCTGTCCCTTCAGCATCATTCCTACCAGTTCCCTGGGTGAGCCCACTGGACCACTCTCCTCTCCAAACACCCTTCTCCTCATTCTGCGCAACAGCATTCACCCCCCAAACCAGCAGCAATCCCAGTCAGACACCCACCCCCTCTCTACCTGCTGAAACCCACCCACCCATCTTCTGAGGCCGAAAGCCCTTCTCAATCTCCCCCACATGAGGACACTCATCCTTCCACTGAACAGACAGGAATTGCTTGCTCTCGCTCATCGAAACAATCATGTTCTCTTTGTATTTAAGTTATTTGTGTACTGGTCTTACCCCCAACTATTAGATTCTAAGCTTCCTAAGGTGCGGAATGACTTCTCTGCATAAAGCTCCTTGGCCTCTAGTAGGTCCTTGTAAACAAAGGAGAGAGCAGATGTTAAATGAATGCTGAGATTCAGCTTTGGAAGCATTTAAAAAAAATTTTTTTTTTTTTATTTCAGAGAGGAAGGGAGGAGAGAGAGAAAGGAACATCAATGATGAGAGAGAATCATTGATCGGCTGCCTCCTGCACGCCCTCTAATGGTGATCAAGCCCACAACCAGGGCATGTGCCCTGATAGGGAATAGAACCGTGACCTCCTGGTTCACAGGTCAATGTTCAACCACTGAGCAACACCAGCCAGGCTGGAAGCACTCTCTTAAATACAGCTCCCTATACTAATCAAGTGAAAAGTTAAAATATGTTTTAAAAATAAGATGTTTAAACCTCTATAGTAGGAAGGGATCAGGCAAGAGAAAGACAGAATAAACTTGGGACGTCTTGTGCCAGAAAGCAGGGAAGCACTGAAAGCTAACGGCGGGAACAACAGGACACACAGGAACCAGCTGGAAGAAGAGCCAATGGGACAAATTAAGGATCACGTGAGCATCCAAATGTAATACATATGATCCAGCAATTCCTCTTCTGGGTATTCACCAAGGAAACATGAAAACACGAATTCATAAAGATATGCCTGCACCCGCATGCTCACTGCAGCATTATTTACAACAGCCAAGACATGGAAACAGCCTCAGTGTCCACTGATGGATAAATGGGTAAAGATGTGATGCCTCTAAGTACAGGAGTACTACTCAGCCCTAAAAAGGATGAAGCACTGCCTTTTGTGGCAACATAAATGAATCCTGAGGGTATTATGTTAAGTGAAGAAGGACAGAGAAAGACAAAACTATGATTTCACTCATCTGTGGAATATAAAACAAAAAAGTAACAAATGAACTAAAAAAACAACAACTCACAGGTTGGTGACAACAACAGAATGGTGGTTACCAGCAGGGAAGTGGGGAGGGGAGGGCAAAGTAGGTAAAGTGGATCAAATATACGGCAACATAAGGAAACTAGACTTTGGGTGGTAGGCACGCATTTGATTATACAGACATCAAATTCTAATGCTGTACACATGAAACTTACATGATATTAAACAACGTTACCTCGATAAATTTAATTATTTAAAAAATTTAATACAGTAGTCGCCCCATATCTGTGGTTTTTCTTTCCGCAGCTGCATTTACCCACGACCAACCATGGCCTGAAAATATTACATGAAAAATTCCTGACATTTTGAGAAAGAGAGAGCACATTCACATAACTTTTATTAGAGTATATTGTTACTATTCTCTAACTGTAAAATGAACTACTATCCTATTTTTTATTAGTTATGGTTAATCTCTTACTGTGCCTAATTTATAAATTAAATTGTACCCTGGGTATGTATGTTTAAGAAAAAGCACAGAACCACCCTAGCTGGTTTGGCTCAGTGGATAGAGCTTCGGCCTGCAGACTGAAGGTTCCCAGGTTCGATTCCAGTCCAGGGCACATGCCCGGGCTGCAGGCTCGATTCCCAGTGGGGGGTATACAGGAGGCAGCCGATCAACGATTCTCTCTCATCATTGATGTTTTCTACCTCTCTCTCCCTTCCTCTGTGAAATCAATAAAAAAATATAAAAAATAAAAAGAATAGATCAACAGTCTCTGAAATACAGTGGGGCCTTGACTTATGAGTGTCCCGACTAACGAGTTTTTTGAGATACCAGCTGTCTCTCGGCCAATTTTTTGTATTGAGTTGATAGAGTAATTTGAGTTAATGAGCTCCTTAACGAGCTCAGTCTCGGAACGAATTAAACTCGTAAGTCAAGGCCCCACTGTATACAAAATTAACACTATTTAAAAAAAAAAAAAGCATAGTACATATAAGGTTCGGTACTATCCCTGGTTTCAGGCATCCACTGGGGGTCCTGAAACATATGCCCGTGGATAAGGGAGGACTAATGTACTGCATATTTTCTACACATGTCCAAGAAACAGAATATAACGGCGGCCTATCCTATGAATCTAGCATGGCTACCACCATCACACTAATTTTGCATGTCACTTCAGTCAAAAATTACACTGGCTTCAAGGTTTCCAAATCTCATGACGTATTCAAATTGTAATCATGCCGTCAGGCCCCTGAGAGCCAGTGCCCCTTACCTTGAGAAGAAGTGTAGGGTTCTGTGTAATGTCCATTGTAATGCAGCGGGGGTGGGGCGGGCATCGCATAGGGCTGAGGCTTAGGCTGAGAAATGGGAAGTTGGAGGCGGGGTTAAAACACACTGCCTAGGTAACATGCAAAGGCGCTGTCTGCTGCCTTCTTTGTCTCCACTAAAACACTCCCAAAGGAGGCACAAACATACGTGAAAAGCGAACATAGAAATCCACAGCCCTTATCTGCCATTCTCACTGCTGCCCCGAGTGGCGGTGCCAAGCCCCGTGCACTGAGGGCAGACATCACACAGCACAAGAAAACGTGCTGCGTTCGAAAAGTTAAGGGCAAGGAGGGAGAGACAAAAATGGCCTGAATTCTCATGTAAACATATGAATGTAAGAAGCTTATATTTAATTTTAGGAGGTAAAATTGTCCAGTACTTTAAATATCTACGAACTCCGGATTACTGTTGGCTAATAGTCAAAATTTTAAATATTAGATTCGACCTAATATTTCAATGTATAATATAATAAATGTTATATCAATACTGGGCTTACCCTCTAGGGGGAAAAAAAATCACCATTTCTTTGGTCAAAAAAACAATAGAATATCGACACACTTTTGTGTTCAAACTAAAAATCAGCACTGCCTAAGCCTACTTTACTAAGGAAGATGACATCACTAAGGGAAATGGCCATCGTGGCTTTCCTTCTCTCTTACCAGAGACATCCTGGAAGAAGACCTCCTCCTGATCAGGTTCACGGTGACGGTCGGCGTTTGCCTGTAAAATAAGGCACGTCCTTAGAAGAGCATACATATGTTCTCCCTCTCGCTCGCTCTCTATACATACAATCTTCCTAATTCTACGAGAATAAATAAGACGGTAAAATGATACAGGTTCCCATGCAAAAGACAAAGCAACCCAATCTCATACCTGAGACAAGGAAGGAGGGTCCCTGTCCCTGGCATGGCCTCGGCCCCGTCCCGCTGCCCAGGCCCCTCTGACCACGCCAGGGGCTGAGCCTCCTCCCACAGCATCCGCCGCCTGGACTACCGGAGGGGCCGACAGGGGGAACCTTCCCTGGTCCACCCAGGACAAGCAGAGGGGGAAGGAGGTGAGGCCAGGCCACCCACAAACTCACCCAGAGGCAGCAAGACGGTGCAAACGCATCACCCCGGGGCCTGGCTCAGCACTGACCACCCCACTGACACACCTGAGGGGTGGCCATCGGCTGCCAGCCCCAAAGCCGGAAGCAACCCGGACTGCCTTTAGCTACAATCTGTTAACCACACACTCCAAACGTAATGAAGAGATAAGCTTATCACGTTGGTAACTTAAGAATCTGTATTTCTTCTAAGGAATTCAGTTAGGGAAAGCAGGAGAGTAGGAAAATTGTTTTAGTGGGCCTGTGGTAAACCCGTTTATTGACCTTTCTTTCAAGAAACTTCTCTCCGGTTTTAAATGTACTTTTTAAAAAGCAATGAGAATGGGTGGAGGTGGGAGAGGGCATAGAAGGGATAAATGGTGATGGGCAAAACTAAATGTTTTTAAAAAGCCATGCCAACTAACATTTACCAGATAATCTGAGAGTTTAAAGGAGTCACGACAAGTCCCATCTCTGAATAAAATTAGAAACAGGAAGCAGAAAAACCCATTTGTAATTCTATAGTTTTTAAACAGAGGCAGGCATTTTTTGTTTTTGTGTGGTCAGTTTTGTCAAAAGTTAAGATCTAGGAACCTAAGCACTAAGGATTCTTGGCTTTGCTGATGACTTACATAATTTTGTCAAAGCATTTAAAAAAGACACACAAAAAACCTTTGCCATCTGTTCCTGGTTCATGAGCTTACACGGCACGTAATTACTGATCACAGAAATATGCTGTGACCTTCAGTTGCACTGCTCCAAGGACTAATGACTGCAAATCCACAGCACAAAGTGAACGCTCATGCCCCATAGCACCGAGCCTCTGTCTCCCCGATCGGCATTCCTAAGTGCTCTAACAATGAACATCGCATTCAAACCCTGTTCATTAGCTCAACACCAGGCGACCACAACCGCTTTTGCTAGATGATTTTCTTTTTAAATTAAATGCTTTAATAATTTCTTTCATTATCTTTGGAATGTAATAAGCTTGTTGATGAACAGATGTCTCTTTCCCAAGGACGCTCCATTCTGCCAGTATTTATGTTACTCAACAACCCCGTGGACTCGACTTCCGTTACGCTACAAAAATACCACACATGCCCGGTTAAGGAGGCCTCCTTGGTGAAGCAGGTAAGAAGGCTGTGTCTGGGCTTTATTTAATTTTTTAATAGTCCTGAACTGCGCGTTAATATATTCCTAAAATCTGTGTCCAGAATTTGAAGACATTGCACTCTGCAGCCTTAACATTCACTCTGCCTTTGCTCATTCTCCAAGGTCAAGGGTAGATTTAGGCGAACTGGTCTTTTGAAGTTTCGATTTAGCCCAGAGACTCGCCAAAGTGAACTGAACTTTAAAGCACTACAAATCTGAAATGGAGACTTGGGAGGAAGAACTGCTGACAGAATCCTCCAACGACATGTCCAGAGTTGCCCAGCCTGCAGCAAAAGTCAACCGCAGTGTGTTAAACACAAAACCCCAGGCAGAGCCTAGGACACAGGCAGCAGCTCCCCCACGCGCTATCGATGCTGCAACCCTGGCCGGCAGCACCCAGCATGCGGGTGACACTGCCCGCTGCACACACACAAGCCAGTCCCTCTTCCTCCTGCCACACTGTTTGGCAGAGTCAGCCTCGCCCTCGTTCTAATTTTCTAACCTCCCCTTTCTTCCTGCCAGTGTCCTGGTCAATGCAGTCCACTGTGGAACCAGCTACCCCCCGCACTCAGTGCACGACAGAAAGTGGGGGAACTGTTGGTTGTGTTTTCCAGACTTTGGGGGCCGTTTACAATGCTGATGGGTGCTGCCGACATGGGACCAGTGAAGAACTCTTAGGAAAAAAATCACCGGAATGCGTGCACTGGGGAAGACAAAACAAGAAAAGGCTGCCAGCCCCAGGAAAATAAACGGCAGGACGTGTTGAAACAGGGCTGAAGACTGAGCGTGATCACCCGGTGGGGCCCACACCAACCCCATGCGGGAGGACGGCTGACCCTGATTTCACAGGGGAAGAAACTGATACTCAGATTAAGTAAGTTACTGCGGGTCCCGTGGAAAATAAGTAGCAGACCCGGCATTTGAACAGGCAGGTCTGTCCACTTACTGGGCACAGGCTCCTGATAATGGATTATACCCCTAGAACCCGCCCCCCCCCCCACACCCCGCCCCATGCACACACACAACCCCACCTGCTCTGTAAGGCCCATGGGGGCAGGAGCACAGGCCCACGGTATCGGCGTACAGGAAGCCCTCCATGTTTGCTGAACCAAAGACACAGTGACTGAGGAGGGAAGTGATGCTCATTGCTAAGCATGGGCAGCTGAGCTATACTTCTGAGAGTTGTCTAAATTTTGCTTTGTCAGCTTCTTTCTTATAGATTTATGGCTACTGCAGAGGAATGAGATTTTTTAAAAAATATATTTTTATTGATTTCAGAGAGGAAGGGAGAGTTAGAGAAAGAAACATCAATGATGAGAAAGACTCATTAACTGACTGCCTCCTGCACGCCCCTACTGGGGATCGAGCCCACAACCTTGGCATGTGCCCTGACTGGGAATCAAACCATGAGTTCCTCTCCCTTCCTCTCTGTAAAAAAATCAATAAAATATATTTTTAAAAAAATAAATAAATAAAATATATTTTTATTGATTTCAGAGAGGAAGGGAGAGTTAGAGAAAGAAACATCAATGATGAGAAAGACTCATTAACTGACTGCCTCCTGCACGCCCCCTACTGGAGATCGAGCCCACAACCTGGGCATGTGCCCTGACTGGGAATCAAACCATGACCTCAAGAAAAGCCTGGGGGAGAAAAGGAATCCTGAGAGGCCAATTCTAGGCCTGCTGCAGTCTCATTAAATGCTCACCACGCTTGAGTTGACCCAGTTGGACCGTGAGAACGAGTCTACCAATACTTCAGTCTAGGTTTAGAGCCTTAGAAGACATGACCAGAAAATTAAAGTTATTTTCCATTTTATTACCTACCAAAAAGCTAAGCATTCATTTACTTCACCTGGGGAACAAGTGCTCACCAGGAAACATACTCGTTTTCCACAGAGCGACGTGGATATCAACCGTCATGAATAATTACATAGGACTACCGCGTGGAAATGGATGTCCACGGCCTACCGGATGTACAGAGATTAGAAACAAAATGTGGCACCAACTAATACGGAGGCCTGTGGGAAAGGAATTATATCGGTGGCTTATTCAAAACCATTGAGTCTTCATTATTTTCCAGAAAAAGAATAAACTGAGGGAATGATGGGTCAATAATATGGATACTCTTCAACGTATGAAAGGCTTTATCTTTATGAAAAGGTGGTGGTCCAGAAGACTGCATATCTACTCCCTGAATCTCAGAACACACTTCTGCATAAAAATAACGTCGCACGTGGCTGGGTAGGTGGGCCAGCCCGGAGGAGCCCCAAATGCAACTATCCTGGACTAGCAGCACCCCCGAATCTAGCAGCAAGGGAACATTTCCACCCACAAATGCACCCCAAAGTCCCAGCCAGGCAGCAAGCAGAGGCTCCCATATCCACAAGGAAGCAGGGGTACTCCCCCCTGCCAGCTGGTGCTTTCGGAAACCCCATCACCAGACCAGCAGGAGGACTCGGATACAAACAGGGGTGCAGGGATGCAGGGAGGGGGGGACAGGGACCTAAGTGCTAATCGTCAGGTGGTTCTGCACGTGTGAGGTTTTCTTCACACCCAGGTCCCTATAAAACACAAGCACTCCCGCAGCCTTTCCTCTTCCTTCCTGGCCAATTTTTTTTTTCCAATTGACCGTTAGTAGTAAAAGGAAAGCAACAAGGAGCGAAAGGGCTCTTCTCCCCACGGATCCCTCACTGTGTCACCCAGGCTCCCACCAGGTGCTAACTAAGCCTTATGCACGTACGAGGCCCCCTGCCAGGCTCCAGGGCACGAAGATGGATGGGAGGAGCCTGCCCTCAGGGAGCCCCAGCGGACACAGCAGACAAATCGCATCACAACGCAGACGCGGACACTCCAGCAGTCTGCACAGGGGCTGACAGCACAGGCTCAGCCTCGCTGCTCCCCGTTAGCAAGGGAACAACACTTCACGTCTCTAAGTCTCCATGCCATCGCCCACAAAAGGGCAATGATAACTACCACACAGGTGACTGTGAAGATGAGAGGAGATAAAAGCTCTCAGCATGATGCTCGATATGGAGAAAGCATTTGCTGAGTCAGAATTATTGTTATGAAAGTGACAGGAAAAAATGGGATTTGGAGAGTGAAACCGAGGACTAACAAACAGAATGCATGGTGGTCTCAAGGTGGCTGCATGGAAACCAGATCTTGAAGAATGACTGGCTCTGACAGAGAAGAGGAGGAAGGGCACGCCAGCGAGGCCTGAGGCTGCGAGGAACATCTGCATTGGAAGGACTGAGGGCTCTAGAGCCGGGATCAAGAGTGAGTGGGGCAGGGGAACCCCGCGAAGGAATACAGTGGGGCCTTGACTTACGAGTGTCCCGACTAACGAGTTTTTTGAGATACCAGCTGTCTCTCCTCCGATTTTTTGCATTGAGTTGACAGAGTGATTTGAGTTAACGAGCTCCTTAACGAGCTCCTTAACGAGCTCGGTCTCAGAAC